CTGAAGTCTTCCTTCTCATCATTTCTTATAGCACTGCTCATCATTTCTTACAGTACTAGTTTTAGTTTAAAGAAAGGATTTCTTTGCTCTATAAATTTTAGTTTGTTTCAATGAAATTGCTTTGCTATATTTCAGGGGGTGGGGTATATCTAATCTTGTTTATTAGGATTTTATTTTAGCGGGCTTAACATTTTATTGGCCTTTGTGAATTTTAATTGAGGCATAAATCAGGAAACATTTAAAATGTTTTTTTGTTTTGTTTTGTTTTTTTGGGTTTTTTTAGGCAATTGGGGTTAGGTGACTTGCCCAGAATCACACAGCTAGTAAGTGTCAAACGTTTGGTCTGAGGTCGGATTTGAACTCAGGTCCTCTTGACTTCAGGGCCGGCGCTCTATCCACTGCGCCAGCTAGCTGCCCCTAGAATGTTTTCTGAGAAATGTTTTTTGTATGCTAAGAAAGTTTCCCTATTAAAATAAAAGCTCTAAAGTTTTCTCTTAAATTTATTGTAAATCCTATAAATTTGTTTAAAATCTGTTTTTATATTTTTGTTCTATCATGATGTAATTGATCGAAGATTTATGTTTATGTATCTGGGAAAATGTGTTACTCTACAGAGAGGACTTGATTTAGAAAATTTGGAAAAAAAATATCATGACAAAAACCAGTGACCATAGTAGGAGGCAGCTTGGTTTCATGGAGAGTTCTTGGGAAGTCAAGAGGCCTGATCTGGGTGACCTGGGCAAGTCTTCCTCTTTCTGGACTTTTGTTTCCTCACGTGTAAAATGAGGAATATGGGGTAGATGATTTCTAAGGCTCATTTCAGCTTTAAAATTTTATGAGGTTGTGAATATAATTGCTTTCTAAATGCTAGTAAAATTCCTAGTTAAATGTTTGATCATTTAGACCACCAGGGAAGGACAGTATTCATCCTTAGATGGTGTATTAAAAAGTTGTTCTTTCAGCAATTATTATTGACTATGGAAAAGACCTTTCTTTTCATAATAGCCCTTTTCCATATGGAATTTAGATTGAACAAAGGAAACTTTTATAAAGTAATTAGAGGGAGATATAAGTTGCGTGTAACTTTGTGAATTGGATATTTTGTAATGTGCTATTTTTATAACATGTTTTCTTTTGACCTTTTCCTTTTTTCTTGATCTGTTAGAAAGTATTCTTGCTATTTCATTGTGAATAGAGTCTGTCATAAATTGCAACCCTTATTGTTAAACTAATGACTTGTACTCTTATTATATTACAAGAGGTCCCTAATGTAGTAGAAAGTGCATCAGCTTGAACTTCAGTCCAAGCCCTAGCACTGAGCTAGTGGTATGACTGTGGACAAGTCACTTTGCCCCTTTGGATTTCAGTTTCCACATCTGTAAAGATTGGATTAGATAGTTGATAAGGCTACTTGCTGCTCTTATACAATTCTGTGAAATCTCTTAGAAATGAATGAGAAGCCATTAAAGTGGAAAATATACAGAGCTAGAACTAGCCTAGATTGGCTGAGCCTTCCCTAGGCATTGGGGTTGTGCCCTCCCTTTCCTGTGCTGGTCACCCAGTTTTAGGTGTTGTCCTTTTTGGGTGGAGTAGTGGAGGTAAACTTAGGCTCTCCTCTGGCCCTGTCCTATGCTCTTTTCCTTTTCTAGTATGCCTTCTGAATCCTCCTCTATTCTTAAGCTACTCCTCTCTATCTTAGACCTCTTCCTCTCAGATTTTCATGATCTGGTACTCTCTGAAATCTGGCTTTCCCCTGAAGACCCCTTGGATCTTGGTCCCTTCTTTATGCTAGACTTTCAACTTTTCTCACCCTGACACAAAGGGTGAGGAAGAAAAGTTGGTATATTTATTGTTCCTTGTAGTTGTTTTTAGCCTTTTTGAAAGTTCACTCCATGTTATACAGCTCCTTGTCATATGTTTATTTCCAGACTGCTCTTTCTGCTGCTCCTCAGTAAGTTTAATAACCAAGTAAGCAAACATCTTCTCCACTTCAACTTCTTTGAGCAATATCCTGGCCTCCCAGTCCCTCAACTTCCAGGAACATTTGAAAGCCTACCTTAACCACACTTAGGAATGGTCATACTTCAGGCTGGTCCCACTTCTTTACTCCAACTGATTTTGCCCCAGGTACCAGAATTCTTAGTTATGTCTCTGAAAAATCTAGATTTGTGAATGCACATACATATTAAAAACAAGAACAAAAACTTGTAGACAATAACTGGATAGTATTTCTTCTCTAGTGGCAGATCAAATCCATCCATAATAGCTAAGTCTTGTGGAGTTGACTGGGCACTTGTAAGTTAAGTGATTTCACCTAGGAAGCATTTGAGGTGGATTTGGAGCCAGGCCTTCCTGAGTTCTGTCCAGGAGTCTGTCCACTCCATAGTACTGCTTTTAATGGTTACTATTTGCATCTCTGTTACAATTAGTGTAGGCAACTCCTGGTAAGTAAACTTCCTCTACCAACGCTTATCAGCAACTGTTAATGTAAGTTAAAGTCTGAGAGAATTACATGGGACACAGAAGTTAAATGACTTGTCCAACATCTCACAGTCACTATATAACAAAGGTGGAACATTTTTAAACTAGTAAACATTTCATTTATGAATGGAGAGAATTAATTTAAAACTTAGATTTTTAAAAATCACATTTCTCATACTACAGGGCAATCTCTGCTATCTTTTATCCAGTTTTCTCTTAGGGATATGCACATTGTAATCCAGTTGTGGCCAGAGTAGGCAAGTTGTTTGTAGGATTTTTAAATCTTGATTACAAATATTATTGTGCCTCCTCTTCTGTTGTATGCCTTTTGAAAGTTTTCCCTTTTAGTAATCTGGATTAAAAAAATCCAGTTTGTGTACAAATGTAGGTATGTCCCGTGATCCATGCTTAAGTGAAAAGTAAAATGAGCCTTTGATGTCTATAAAATGTTGTTTTCTAGCCCAAATAGCAGTTGGTATCTAGATGCCAGCTTTACGTATCATTATATGATGTCTCATACTCTTTTTGGTCCTGAAAAGTGATTTAATCATCTTAGAGAGCTCTTAAATACAGATCTACCCCTTCTCTACAACTTAGAAAATTACTTAAGAAACTGAAAATGTAAGTGACTTGGTCAGAGTCACACAGCCAGTGTTTATCAGAGACATGACTTAACTCAGGTGTTCTGACACTGAGGTTAGTTCTCTAGCTTACTAGCTTACTTACATGGTATGTCAAAATTAAGAATATTAAAAGGACCAAGTGGTAATTTTTTAAAGTAAAAAAAATTTTTTCAGTCTTTGACTTTTTTTGTATGGGGACAAAATCAGTGCTATATTTGCTTTCCTTAGGGGGTCAAAAGTGTTTCCTTAACTAGGTGGCCCAGTGGATAAAGCACTTAACTTGGAGTCAGAAAGACCTGAGATCAGTCCCTCTTCAGATACTTAATAGCTTTGTGACCCTGGGCAAGTCACTTAACTTCTGTCTGTCCAAGTTTCCTCATCTGTAAAATGGGTATGGATGTTGACCTATCTCCCAAGGTGGTTGTGAGGATAACATGAGATATTTACAAAGCTGTAAAGTGCTTTGTAAAACTTAAAGTGATATATAAATGTTAATTGTTCTTATTAAGCTAAGACTAATGCTGCTTATAAATTTTAAGTGCTACAGCTCTGTTTATGGAAATCAAAGCAAAAACAATTATATTGTTTTTGATAGTTTTTTTGGGGAGCCAGGATTCAGAAATGGTGATGAGAGAAATAAGTTTATTATTTAATTAGACACATGTTGATTGGAAAGAAGTTTTATGAACTTATGGACAAAAATTGGTATCTTTCGAAGAAAGAAAACTGTATCACATAAAGATTGAATATGTTATTTCTTTAATTCAGTATGTGTGTTGGTGGGGTTCTTGAAGCTACTGTTAGTGAAGAGTTTAACATTTTGCCTCATGGATTTTAAATATGTATATTGTTCTTTTGGTGATGATATTATGCTGTTGAATTGCATGCTGTTGCTTTTCTGAAGCTTTCAAACTGAAAGCTCATCATTTATCTAGAAAATCTATTGCGAAGAGGTTCCAGTTAGGCAGAGGGGTTCTGACATTCAGTGAAAAGTTGAACATATATTAATATGTCCAAGAATTGGGATTTATTTTTTTTAAATGAGAATTCCTAGTGTGGATCCTTTCTCCTCTAACACAGATTACAATCCTTCTGTAACTTAACTGTTTTATAAAGATGCTTTGAAATTTGTAGGGGGTGAGTGGTTTGCCCGTGGTTACCTAGAAAAGGTCAGATCTTCCTGATTCCAAGTCCAGGGTTCTCTTCACGGTGTCAGAGTTGGACATAATTTTTTTTGTCATTCCCTATGAATGTGGGTACATGGTTGGATTGCTGCTGACTGAACCATGATACAGCTCATGCTTATGGACAAGGTAGAATGTATCAGAAGAAGGTAGGGAAGACTAGTTTGAACTTGACATGCATTTATTATTTATTAACTCAGTTATTAAAATTTCAGCCTTTTGTTTAACCTGCCTCAGGGTGCAGGCTTAATCAACTAAAACACTAATTAAAATCCATTAAATAACTTCAGTGGGGAACAAGGTATAGTGTAATGAAGTTTTAACAGCAAGTCTTTGGTTGCCCACTGATGAAATGTATTTATTTACTCTTTCTTAGTATGATTTTACTTTTTAAAAAGGATTCACATCTTATGCTGAGTAGCTTGCAAAAGTAGGAAACTATAAAAAGGGAGGTAAAGAAAAATTAAGCAAAAAGGTTATAGATAAAGATTTTCTCAGTGTATTATTGACTAACTTGCATTAGTAGAAATGAAATAAAGTAAAGTTTTACTCAAATCTTCCTTAAAAGTAATTTATACATGTTCCTTGTGGATTGATTGTGTTATAGAAAACATAGACTTTTATTAACCAGTTTATATTAACTTCTTGTACATTTTTTTCATATTTCCCCTCCCCCCCACAAAAAATGTTTTATCTGTGTTCTTGCCTCTAGGTAAGGCTATGCCAAAATCCCAAACTCCAATTAAAGAACAGCCCACCATACATACTTGATATTTTGCCTGACACTTATCAGCATTTGCGACTCATACTGAGCAAATATGATGACAACCAGAAACTTGCACAACTCAGTGAAAATGAATATTTTAAAATCTACATTGATAGCCTGATGAAAAAGTCAAAACGGGCAATTAGACTCTTTAAAGAGGGCAAAGAGAGGATGTATGAGGAACAATCACAGGACAGGTAAGAGTCTTTTATGATGCAAATTTTATAATTATATAACTATGCTTATTATTGCTTGTTTTATTTGTCATTTTCATATTTAATAGAAATATCATGAAGAGAACTTTTTTACTTGGTAAACAGTAATCCCTTAGATTTATGTAATGTTTTTAAGGTTTGCAAATGCTATACAAATATTATCTCATTTGATCCTTATAATAACTCTATGAGGTAGGTGCTGTTATCCTCATATTACAGGTGAGGAAATTGAGGCTGAGAGGTTTTGACTCACCCAAGATCACTCATCTAAGAAATGTCTGAGACAGGATTTGAACTTGAATCTTGTTGAGTTACTCTCCTTCTATAGTAAAGGCTTGTAAAGGCCTTTACTATAGAAAGAAAGACCATGAGAGAGAGGCAACATATTATGGGCATAGTAACCAAGTCTTGAACCTATATCTATCATTCTTTTCTTAGAATAGGGCTTGGCAAACTATGGCCCACCACCTTTTGTATGGCCTGTGAGCAGAGAAAGATTTTTGTATTTTCAAGAAAGTTTTATTGTATTTTAAGCTGTATTATGTTGTAAGTTTTAGTAGCTTAAAACTGTGTTATGAACTTTGAGACAACCTGCATAGTGCTTTGGAAACTTTAAAAGTGTATAAATGTTGATAGTTGTTATTGTTACCATCATTAGTTGTTATCATTAACTTAGGTGTTAAATAGGTGGTGGTGGGTTTTTTTTTCCCTTCAGAATTTTTAGCTCTGAATCCAATTCTGATGCAGCAAATTGGTCTTTTGGGTTGTGACTTTAAAGTCATTTGTTGTTTTCAAGGTTATTATAACAGCAAGGTCTTGGAACATCATTGGTGACTATGTAGATGTAATTAGATATTTGGATGTGTTTTTATTTTCTCATGGAAGAAATAGTGCCTTCCTGAGAATCTTGAGTTAATTCCTGCAAAACTTAAATAGATAACCTAGTAATTTCACTTTTTCTTTTTGTGTTTTTTGATTTAAAAAATGTTAACCCCCTGCTGTGTGCATTTCATTGCACCTAGACAGACTCTGGGGGAGATTTAAAGTTTAGATGGTTCTGATTTCTTATCAAAAAGGAAAAATGAGGAGCACATTCCCTGTTGAAATAATACGGTGTAAATTAGAATTAAGTTAATATGTGGTCAGCTGATGATTGTGAGGGAGATTTGTAACATGCTTCTAAATTTTTAACCAGTGTTTTAGAAGCATTTATAATTAAGAATTTGATAATTTACTTTTGGATAGACTGAACATCTATGGCTATGTATAGAGTATAGATCTATCGTATGATTTTATTGAGAGTCATATCCAAGTAGAAAGCAGTTTGTGCTATGTGTGTGCCGAATAACTGGAGTCTTCTCTTTATGTGATATTATGGATCCACTATCGTTGGGGTGATTACTTTGAATTGTTTCCTAGTAGTGGTGATGGATTAATCTCTACTCATTCTTCTAGGCCTGTTTGCAACCAGAGGTATACTTTTATGAGATTTAGTAGAGGCTGCTGGGTACAGTTTTGTCCGATGCAGAATGTAGTTTGTTGGTAAACAAGGTAATATAAACTCCTTGCTATGTGTCCTGGTTGGAGAGTAGACTATTATTGTTAATAAAATTACCATGCATATAATAAATGAATTGCCTATTGGATAGAATACAATTAAGTATACTTTTCTAAGACTATACTGAATATACTTTTAATCTATTTCAGAAAGTAAAATGTTGTGAACATCAGTTTTTTTAATGGTATATATACAAGAAGGTTTCAAAGTTGGTTATTTAGGTAATTTAGAATATTGAAAGGAAATTGACCTGAAGACCTTTATGATATTAAAAAGATGTGTTTGTATATATGAACACACATATTGAATGAACCTGTGATTTTATTGGGATCCGTAACTTCCAAATGAAGGAGCTCCTTCTGTCAATCCAGGTTGGCACCATCTTAATTTATAGCCTTAGAAAAAGGCCAGAGTCACTGAGAGGATAAGTGAGTAGTCTCATGTCACACACCTAGAAAAGACTTGAACCCAGGACTTCCTGACTCTGAGGCCAGTTTCCATCCATGCCGTTGGGCTCCTTCTCCCTCTCCCAGTGTGTGTGTGTGAATTTGTTGGAAATTTTTCTTATAATTAAAAATTGCAGGGCCAGTTTGTGCTGGCTGTATTTTCTACAGTATCCAAATGAGGGAAATAAATGAACCTGATTTAGAAAATACATTTTTTTCTGAAAGAAAATATAACTTCTGTATTTATGTATTTACCAACAAATGAGGCGTGAGAAGTATAATGCAGGTCTTTTGTTCAGATATTTTATTTGTAAGTAGATTAGAGTAATTATTTTTGTCAGTTGCATGTCATGAGAAAGCTCTGTCCCAGCTTGAATTTACAGTGAGCCCCTTTTGCCCTATATCACTCTTTTTAAGTTTTCATCAGATACAGTTGAATCTCACATTGACTTGGTACTGCTCCAGCTAGTAGTCACTTTGGACTCATAAACTGTACTGAGCTGGCATTTCCTGGTAGAGTATTCAGTGATTTCTGGCATACACATAGTTTATATATGTATATGTGTGATCTTTGTAGGAAAGGGAGAATATATTTGTATTTCTAGCCTAAAAAAGGGAAGTGCTATATCACATGGTTTAAAGACATGATTGATATGAAGCACAAATATCAAAGTGGGCATAAGCAAGCTTCAGGCCCCCTCTCTTCTGCAGCGGGTTTTTCTTTTCCTTATGATTTTCCCACTATTTACCACAAACTATTGAAGAATAGTAATAACTGGTAAATTCTAGCAGTGACTAATATAGTCATAACAGTTAGTGATTGGTAACATAGTAAATTGACCTCTTTAATTTTTCATTCAGCATGACCCAGATGTACCCAGAGAAAATGGTAGGATATTGTATTTTAACCTACTTTAAGGTTGTTTGTGCAAAATAGTAGTTTTCTAGTTTTTCAGGCCATGGACCACTGCAAAACTGATCAAAAAGCCCAGTGGATAACCTCTCCCATTCACTGAAAAGGGCCAGCCACTGGGAAAGGAAAGCAAACACGATTCACAGAATTGATGTTGAATGTGGGGTATGCTTTGGAAGAGCTAGTCATAAGGGATATCAGCAATCAGTTATAAAGATTGTGTCATACTATAAATACTGTAGGATGCTAGCCTCTTACACTGCATTTGGGGAACTGGTTTGAAGAAGGTCCTAGATAGAGATCATGAAATAATGTATGCATCAAATATGTGTAAAGGGGCGGTGGGGTAAAGATACCGTTTCAACAAGAATTTATTAAGGATTTCTGTAAGGCAGAAACTGTGCCGTGTGCTAGAGATACAAAGACCAAAAGAAAAAAGAAAAAAAAAGAAAAACAGCTCTGCTAGATACAGTTAAATTCAACAAACATCTTTAGATGCCTGATTGTATGCGAGACTCAGTGCTTTTAAATTCTTTCCAAAATGTCATTTAAATTGTCTTTATTATTGAGCTGTTGCTGATCAGATATAATTTTATAATACGTATTGGTACAATGCTTTTAATTTCTGAAGAAACACAAACAAGTTTACCTGAGATATATATGAGTGTGTATGTGTACATACACACCCACACACACACACACACACACACCCTTTGTATGTTGATATTTGTGTGGTGGTATTCCAGAAGTACTTTGAAACTGTTACTTTGTACAGCTCTTTATCTATCAATTGATCTATCTTTCTGTCTGCCTACCTATCTACCTGCTTATCTGTATAGACAGATAGATTGATATCACCACGTTTTAAAGGCAAAGATTGTTTATCCTGCTAAGATCCTAGTTTTTAAACCCCTCCCCCATAGCATTAAATGACATTGCCACATTTGGCAGAAAACGAAAGATTGTGGTGTAAAATTTTATATACACACACATATGTATATATGTAATTGTGTACATTATGTTCATTTAATGTACTTACATATTCATTGAGGTATTCTAAACTTTTCTAAATCATTTTCAACTACCTGTTTAAGGAGAATGACTTGTTTGTATGCTTCAGACTTTATATCATAGATTTTAGTTTTAATGAACATCAAAGTGTAATGGCCTTGGTTATATTAGTGTGGTAAGCTCTGTGTTGTGAAGGAAATAGAAGAGGAGAGAGGGATATAGATTGAACTGTATGACTTGGAGCCAGGAACGCTTATGGTATGGTTCCATTTCTGACACCCAAGGCTCTTCGACCTTGGTCAACTCACTTGACTTTTATCTGTAATTTGTTCTTTGTAAAATTGCTATCTAGGCTACTTCTCAGTCAAAATAGAAGAGTTGCTATATAGAGTAACTATTTCTTAGTAATCAATTTAATTATATTAGTTTAAAAAAATTTCCTCCTGTTGAAATATCAGAGTTTCTACTTCATGCTTTGTGTTTATTGTTGGTCACTTTATATTTGTTTACAACTTAATGCATACAAGAGAATTTTTTTTGGTTTTGGTTCTGAACTGTGTGGTTTCATTGGTGTGGAGAGCTCTGAAACTCCCAGTGTGCTTTGGCAACTACTCTGCTATTTATAGTCTTACAGAAAGCTCCAAGGGCAATGTTGAAAGATTAAGTGACTTGCCCATGATCTCAAAGCCTTCAGTGTCAAGGCAGGACTTGTACCCATGTCTTCATGAAATCTGAGGTCAGGGCTTTGTCTTTTATTCTGAATTCCTCAAATTATTTATGGGGGTTGGGAGGAGTAGAGAGGGAGGAGAAAGCAATGAACATAGAGGCGAAAATAACCACGCTCATTTTTTTCTTTTTTTGTACCAGAATAGCTAAATTTACTTTATGAAACAAGTGTTTCTTTTGTTAAAATATTTGAAACCATTTCTACATTATTTTTCAAATACTATTTTAATTTTATAGATTACACTGGGCTTCTGCTTTTTTGACTCTGTGTGTGTGTGTGTGTGTGTGTGTGTGTGTGTGTGTATGTGTGTGTGTGTGTGTGAACCAG